CCCAGGCCCTCAAGGAGCTTATACTCTAGATGGGAAGCTGGCTCACAAACAACTGAAAATTAAGAGGCTTGAAGAATGATACTAAGTGAAATGAGCACAGGAAAAGGGCATCTGCCCAGGGGAACCGGAGAGGACATCACAGAGGAGGAAGTACCCAAGCTGGGACTTGAAAAAATGTCTAGAAGTTTACTTTCAAGTAAGTGTGCAAAGTGGGAATAGCTGCAAAGACTGGCGGGGTAGGAAAGTGTAGAACCTGCCCGGTGTTGAATCATGAAGTGCTGACAGGGAACAGAGGGAGATGAGTCCAGACAGACAGCAGGGATTGTATTGTGAAGGCCCACGTACACCACACAGAAGAGTTTAGATTTTATCCTATGGGGTAGGTTCTTGAAGATACATGAGCAGGGTAGTGACGTGATAGGAATCAAGAGGCTGTTCTGTGGATTTGTTCTTTTAATTCATTTGGTAAGCGGTCACATATTTAGTCTTTCTGTATTTTAACTGAGGGCCTATTATGTGCAAAGCAATTAATTGATCCAGACTTTTCTGTTACAGTCAGAAGATACCTGAGATACCTGCAGATGTTGTGGGTGCCCTTCTGTTCCTGGAGGACTATGTTCGGTACACAAAGCTACCCAGAAGGGTGAGTGTTAATGACCTGTTTGTAAAAAGAAGGAAATAATAGTGGTCCTGGACTCATCCGGAGTGAAGTCCGGTAGGTCATTCTCAGTGGATGGCTCTGAGCCCCTCGCCCCTGCTCTGGAATGTTCCTGCCTTCTCCACCACGTGGAGTGCTATGCAAGAGGATAGAATTTAACACAATATCCCTCCTCTTCCTCTCACTCCTCACGTCCTCCTGACGGCACCTCACCTGGCTCACCAGGAGTCAAGTGAGATGAGCAAGCCAGGAGGGAATTCCTTAAGTGGCAGAGTAAAGAAATAATCATGTGTCTTTCATTCTTTCTCTCCCCATTGACCTGCTTCCCACAGCAAGTCTGGTTAAGTTCATGCCACGAGTCAAGTAATATACAACCACTGTTACCAAAAATGACAGACTACTTTTCACCTTCTAAGAAATTCTTGCCTTTTCCTTTCTCACTAGCAATTCTACTTTGTTAAGTTTTGGCTCAAAGTGGAGAGCCTGATACTAAAATATAAGAGATCTTTAAATAGATGCTGAAAATCATTTCTGATTTTAAATAATTAGGTTAGGAATTGAAGATACTTTTCTATAAACAAAAGCCAAAGGTGATCTTTTGAGAATTAACTGGCATTGTCATACTTAATAGTGAAATGCTAGTAGCATTCGCACTGAAGTCAGGACTATAACGGTGACATGACCACCACACAGACTCTCACGGCTACTTTTGTTATACAGGTATAAGACAAATACAAAATGAAACCACAATAAAATGTACACTGAAAAGACAAACTCTGTATTATTTGAGATATAATTATCTTTCTTGAATATCCAAGAGAATCATCAGAAAACAAGCTGCCTACAGAATAAATGTACAAAATAAATACACTAATAATCAGTTCAAAAACATAATGTGAAAAAGAACCTATACACAGAAATTCCAAGGAAATAATATAGCTAGGAATAACCTCTACAAGCACTATGAAAGAATAATTTATTTTAAAAAACTATGAAATTTTGAAATATAAAATTTGAAAGTCCATGTTTCTGAACGAGGGTACTCGAATATTATGGAGATAACAGTTCTTTCTAGTTTATAAGTTTACTGCAGTTACAGTTCAAGTTAACTTTCTAACTTCAAAAAATATATTTTAAAAAAATTCATAGGACTTAGGCTATAATTGGACTTTTTTTAAAAAAAAGAAGATACTAAAACATGTTATCATATTAAAACAATGTAAAACTATAAAAAGCAAAATAGTGTGGTACTGGTATGTAATTCAATAGAAGGATCAATGGACTAAAATATGTAGCCTAGAAATAAATCCTATGCATACAACTGTATATAAAGAAAAGTAGCATCTCAAGAAAGAAAAGGAATATTGGTCAATAGACATGCTAGTTCATTATGTGGTTGAAAAGCAGCAAGTCAGTCCCTTTATATCTTGTTACCTATGTTATCAAAATTAATTACAGGCTTAGTATGAAATATGAAACATATAAATTAGAAATTTTAGACAAATATATATGAGTCCTTAGAACTTCCTAAGTATAACACCAAAAGAGGAAACTATAAAGGAAAAGATTTAGAGATTTTGATCTCTTATAAATGCTTACATTTGAAGGCAGGGAGAGCTACATAGCATCTCCTCAAATGTTAGCAGTGCCAAGAAATGAGACACTAGTACGGAGAACATGAGAAACAGAAAGTAGCTGTTTCAAGGAGTGGTCCACCCACGTGAGTCTCCTCTTCCCTGTGATTTGCCTTGCTCCAAAAGAAAGGATATCTTTGTTTCTTTAATTTTCATATGGAAAATTTTGAATTTGTTCAACTGTAACGCTATGAATAATTTAATTATTTTATTTTTCAGGTTGCTGAAGCGCATGTGCCTAATTTCATTTTTGATGAATTCAGAACAGTCCTGTAACTTGTTTCTCCCACAATGAAAGGATCGTCTTTAAATCTTCCCATCATCACTAAAATGAATTTGGAAATGAGATGAAACTCAACTGCTCATATAACTTCATTTTTCTTTGCCTTTACTGTGGGAAACATCAGGTATCATAAGATGTATCTCACAGCACTAGTTAATATTATTTAAATCATGGCATTATATGCAATTTATATCATGTAGAAGCAGAACTCATTTTTGTACTGCCTCTTATAAATGTTGAATGTAACTATATGTATAAATCCATTTAGTTTTGTGTTCTAAAGCACTATTTGTGCAACTCCAGATTTTCAGTAAAATAGTACTGCCAGTACTCAAAGTTGTCCCTCTGTTTGTGATTCAAAAACCATATATCCATCCTGTAAATATCCACCCTGCAAGTCATCATGGAGGGGTATTAGGAGAAGCTTTCAATTAGCAATAATGGTGCCTCAGATAAACCTTATTGGCTACAATACTGCCACTGCGCAAAGCTGTCACCCTGCAAATAAATCCTGTTTGGAAGATAGATGACTCTGGTAGGTACAAGGACCCACCCATGACAAGGCTGGAAGGCATATGGTGATGGCCAGACTAGTGCAAATGTTGTGGCCACACGATCTGTACGCCACACGTGCCATAGAAGTTTCTTGGGTGTCTGAGGTTCATCATCGTCTTCCAATTCCAGATACCTTAGGGGCTCCCAGCATCCCTTCTGTAGGATTCCCTACCTTCAGCTGCTCTTTCTAGCATCTTCCTTCCTCAGCAACCCCTGAGCCTGGCCCCCAGTCCCTCCAAGCATATCACTATCCACAAGCCTTCCCCTCCCCCCCTTTTTTTTTTTTTTTGGTAACAGCTTAGCCATATGCTTTTAACTCCCTCAAAATCCCAAATCACTTCTGCATGAAAATTACCCTGAAAAGGAAGCTTCCATCCTACTGTGGCAACTTGGACATCAATAACTTGGATGAGAGCAAGAAAGATGCTTTTACTGTGAACCTGTAGCTGTGTCCTCCTTTAGAGAAGAACAAGCAAAAACAAAAGAAAACCCCCAGAACCAGAAAAAATGATTGACAGTCATTTAGCAACTTGAGGGAAACAAGTGTTAATTTATAATCAAGAGGCAAAGTCTGAGTCCTGATTCTGCCACTAGCTACACATTATCCCAAGCTGGCCTATTGGCTTTATCTGTAAAATTAGGGCTAAATGATTTCTCAGGTTCCTTCAGTTTTCTAATTTTATGATATTTGTTTTGTCTGAAGTCCTCAAACTCTAAGATACTGAAAGAAAAAAGGAAGACTTTATAGACTTTGTTTTATTGTCATAGTAGAAAGGATTTTAAAGAGTCTTCAGTAGAGAGTAAGGGAAGTCTCACGTCCTGGCCATGGAGATGGCATTGAGGCCCAGGACAGAATTTTACGTGAACTGTTGCTTGGCACATAGGGAGCTTGGAAGTCTCACCCCCTGCGAGGCTGCTGTGTGGGAACATCCATATCTCAAAAATATATCACTGTTTTTCATTTGTAATCTTGTTAACAACAACCACATGAAGTGAAATCTTTAGCTCTCTGTGAAAAGAAAGCCAGCTCCTAAAAAGGCCAGAGTTATAAGAAAGTGAGTTTTTAACCAGAAAATAGATGTTTGGGGTAAGTTATAAGGGAATCTTATGAAACCAAGCAAATGGGTTCTCCATGTGCTCTGCTAAAACAAGACAAAGTGATGTTTGAAACTGAGTTTGCTAGTGATTTGGCCAGTGAATTATCTTCTCAACTGAAAGAACTTAAAAATTTAGAGAAATTTTTATCATAAAAGCTTTACAAGTTATTTTAGCCCTAATCGTTAGAATTTGAAGTAGTTACTTAATTTTCCAGGTTATATTTTACTGCTTTTTAAGGGACAACAATTTACCTTCATGATATTTAGGGATTTACTGAACTTTCATGACACCCTTTGAATGTCCATAATGTATCTCTTCAAATTTACTGTAGATAAACTCAGTAAATTCTAACTGATTTTAAAGCGTTATGCCATGTATTACAAGTGCTTATTTGTTCATTCACTATTTCTTGAAATAATCCTAGCCTGGCTTATTCATGTTACACAGTGGAACTATAAAGCCCTTCATTGTTCTTATAGGAATCTGATATTTTCATAGAACTCAGAAAATAACCTTTTGCTTCAAAACCAAGCCACGGCAACAAAATAAAATAAATAAATAAATAAATAATTTTTAAAAAAAAGAAAAACCTTATTGAATTGCTTCATTGGACAGATAAGGAAAATAAGGTGCAGAGACATTAAAGCAACTTTTCCAAAGTCAGTTATTTCATAGAACGGTTTCCCTCTGCACTTTCCATCCCATTTTGGTTTTCTTTCCCATTACCATGAAGCTATGTAAAGAAGTCCACAACAAGAAACAGAAAGACACGAAAGCTCATTCTTCATTTTATTCGCATGTCCCAACAAACTCATCCCAAATACTAAGTTCAAAAGAAAAGCTGCAGTTCCTCAGTATTAGCACTAGTTTACGGTAACAATCATTCCTTTTATATATCTAGCTTATTTTACCCTTTATTTTAAATTGTAAATTAAAGCATATATTTTTACATGTTTATATACAAAAAACTTCAAAAACAAATTAATCGCAATGTTGGTTCAAGAGGTTCCACTTCAGAAGTGGCATAGTACTATGAAATATACATCCTCTTCCAAAAGTCTCTCAGGACTTGGCGAGTTTCAAATATTCCTTCACAAATGGTTCCCCTTTAAGCTTAATGGACCATATACTTCATTTCTGAGTAAATCAGAGGGAATATTACAGAACACGCTTTGTACAATACAGCACCACTACTGAGAAAGGCTCGGGGTTTTGTAATCCAAGGTTCCGATTTAAAGCAAAAATATATGGCATAGACTGCAACAGCAAAGAAGTGTCCAATTAAAACTACAGGGTTAGGAGATAATCTGTAATAGAAAAAAATACATATTGATTGGTAAGACCCAGAAATTAAAATTTACTCCAAAGGTTCCAATTTATTTATCATCTATAGAGCTCAACACAGATTCTACATTTTAAAGGACTTTACAAGCTTACGTCTGTATGTTAAATTTGATAGTAGGAGCAATACATTTTTTTTTCACAAGGAACTACATAGAATATGTCCCTTTCAGAGATGCCAAGTAACTGTTCTCACTCCAGTTTACAGAAGTCATATATACTTTGAGCTGTTTTCTTTCACTCATCTTGAGATCCCGGGATGAAGTACCTAGATGGTCTGGCCTGTTAGAGTCTAGGTTTTTTCTAGTTCATCGCCTTAACCACTGGGCCACAACTACAGCTGTCAGAGTCTAGTTTTTTTAAAAAATATATCAGTATTGACATTAAGGTTATAGATGAATGAGAAATGACTCAAAGAATTTCACTTTGCAGACTTCCCAAGAATAGTTCCACATATGTCTGCACTGTCCAAACTGAGTTGCATGAGTCTTTGCACTTCAATGAATTTAATTATTAAATTCAAATTTCTCAATTATTCATGGCTCCCACATATCAGATCATGTGGATAAATCCACAAGCAAAAACCAAGCTTATACTTTAATCAAGGGTTATAGCTTCCTCTACTTCTAATCAATGCTATTGCCTAGAAGTAAAACAGTATAAAATGTTGCCTTTTTTCTCTTCTCTGGGTCACCTTCTGATTGGGATACTAATGGATAATAAAATGACAAAATGTGTAAGGAAGAAAGATTTGCAATAATTCAGAACTGAACAGTCTTAAGAAAATCTGGAGTATTTGTTTCCTCTGTGCCATCAAAACAACTTACACAGAAAGCAGCCCAACAGGACCGTCAACACATTCTCCACCAAGTTTGAAATAAAGAAAACAGGCTTTTCTTAGCTGATGCAGGGAATCTAAAATAAAATTTTAAAGTTACTCTCAATCAAAATATTTACACATTTATGTTAGGGTGCTAACGATACGTCAGAAAAAAATGATGAAAATGTAACAAATACCAAGCCTTACAGATAATTTTAGAATATCTAGTCCCAGAATTTCAACAACCAGGATTTCTTTTAAATTCCATAATCAATATTATGAATAGTAATATAAATATGAATAAACTTTTTTCTGTTAGTAAATAATTACTAACATTTAGGTCTCGGAAGTTAGAGTTGTTTTAAATTCTTTCCTTGATTTTGTTGTTACTTCACTAAATGACACATAATGCTTTGTAAACTGTCTTTATTATAAAAACACAATTCTAAAAACCAAATTCCCAGTCTCTACAATGCTCAACCCATCTAAGAAGTAAATTATCAAGTAAAAAGAATAGCTGTGAATAGTAATAAATAAAAATGCCTTGTATCTGTACAGTTTTTAATACTTTTCAAAGTAACTCATTAAACTCTCACAACACAGTATAATCAATCAATAACCTTTTTAACAGTTTAGAATCAATGTTCTTTTCAGGTATGCCTAGATTTTTCTTTACAATAGTTTTTTTTTGTTTTTTTTTTTAAAAGGATGCAATAGGTAAACTTTTGTTCCAATAAAGTTCTTTCCTCTTCCAATCTTTCATAACTTTTTAAAATGGTGTTTTGTTGGTAGATTTAAATTCATAATGTAAGAACTCCAGACCTTAGAAAAGCTTAAAAAGAAGAGTTCAGAAAAACTCAAAATTTAGTTCTTTTTATTTGCCCAACCAGCCACTTTAACTTCCATACCAATTTAGCAGGAGAGACTTGCTAAATGCACAATCACAATCAGTGAGTTGTTTTTTTTTAATCAAGAGTTGATAGTTATAAAGGCTACCCAAAGCATTTATATTGAATCACGTTTTGTAAATCACAACCAAATTACTGATCACTAGGGCCTCGGCCAGGTCATACAAATAGCTATGTTGCAAATATACTAGAGTAATGGAATTTCAGTCATATTTATTCTTGAAAACCTAAAAGCCTCATGTTATTAACCGAGCATGAACTGATTTGTACACTGCTGTGGCTGGGAGGTGGCACAGTTGCCTATTCCTCCATTTCTAACATCGCTTCTGCTAAGTCATGTCTTCCTTAATACATAAATTGACCATCATCTCTCTACAATATGAAAACAAAAATAAAAGCACAGGAATATTTCAAATATGTAAAGGATGAATGCATTCTGTTACTTGTGCTTTTTAACAGGGAGCAACTCTAAACATGATTAGAAGCTCATATTCATTTTATAAAATACTACTTTAAAAAGAAATTGAAACTAGTGTTCAGGAAGAAACAGACTATGTTACCGTTTAATACATGCCCAAAAAGACTTTCCATCACAATATTAGCACGTGGGGACATGTAAAATCTAGTCTGGACTAGAAGAATTCAAAATAATAAATACATTATTGAGGTATTACCATTAATGTTGTTTAAGGAAAGTCGGCAGCCTTTCAAAGTGGTGGATGCATGATGATTAGATACTAAAAGTACTAATCAAGGGTGGAGTTAAAAGAACTACCAACTTTGGAGTCAGCAAACTCAGGTAACATTTTGATTTCTGGACTAATCCCTAACTTTTTTATTCCTTTCCTGTGCTAAAAATCTGCAATTCAGTAACGTTCATTAAGAAATATCTACACTTACCATCTGTGCCAGAAAATAATTCATAAAGAGCCTGAGCAAGGATGTTCACAACAAAAGAATAAGATGATTTTCTTGCCCAATAGAATGATTTTTTGGCCTGAAAAAGAAAAAGATCACTTATTTATATAGTAAGGGAAAAAAACCTGATGTTTATAATCCCCTCAAATTGATATTTATCCTAAGGATGATCTGCAAGTAATATTGCCTTATGTTTATCATTTACAAAAAAAAAAAAAATTATCTTCAGAGCAATGGATTATATGACACTGAAGCTGAATTTACAACCCTTATGAGCAAAGTGGCCCATGACAATCCAGTATTAAATAATATTCAAATAAAGAAATTTAGAAACTCTGTAAGATTCATGGGTTGCAAGTCAGGTGCTTTAAGCCCAAACAAGACTGCCTAAGAACCACTACAAAGCGTCAGGGTCCCAAGCACAGATCTCCCCATTAGAGCCCCATTGCTCTTAGCCCCCAGAGAGAAATACATTTGAGACATTTTTGTCCAAGAATAATTTCATATCTTACCTGGAAAATAGCTGCATCATCATAAAGGTCAGGGATACCCTTTAGCAGTTTTCTCCACAGTTTTACATCTTTAAAAGCAACAGTCATTCCTCCACCAGTAAGAGGATGCCTCATATTATATGCATCTCCCAAAAGAAGGACACCTATGAAGAGAGGTAATTAATTAAGATCATGACATCCTGGAGCATCCCTTGAGACAAAACAAAAAAAGAAAAAATGACTACTCTGTTAGTTTATAAAGATAAGCTAGTAAATAGGAAAAAAGTGAAAATAGAAGGAAATGAATCATGACCAAAATTTGTTGAGTCAGAAATTCAAGAGTTGACTGAATCAATATTGTTGGGTACACAGCAAGTGCCAGGCACTGGGGATACAGTGAGAACAAAAGTATGGTCTCTGCCTTCATGAAACTCACATGCAAATCTAATGTTAAGTCCAACAATGTCAATACATTTATAAGGCCTCTTTCAAATTAAAATACGAAAATAGTAAAGAATCTACAGGTATCCCAGCACAAAAAGCAAGTCTTCTACAAGGGAAAAAAAATCAAGAAATGTCAGCAAAGGCTGGCAAAAATAAGCCAGAAACCTAGAATTTATATCAAGACGTCTCATTCTCTCGCTACAATATCCAATTAATCACCAAGTTTCATGCATTCTAAACCCCAGATATTACCCAAATCCATTCACTACCTTTCATTTTACAACCCTAATTCTGGCCTTCTGTCATCACTCACATGGAATAATTACATAACCTTACTATGTTTCAGTCTGAACTTTCCTCCAAACCATCCTACACAAAAATGTCGGAGTAATATTCCTAAAATAAAAATCTAATCATGCCTCCACCTTGTTTAAAACTTTTCAGGACAAGTGCAGTAGCTCATGCCTGTAATCCTAGCACTTTTGGAGGCTGGGACAGGAGGATTGCTTGAGCCCAGGAGTTTGAGGTTGCAGTGAGCTATGATGGCGCCACTGCACTCTAGCCCGGGCAACAGAGCAAGACCCTATCTCAAAAAAATATTAAATCAAATAAAAAAACAAAAACAAAAACCTTTCAATGACCTATTGGAACTAAAAAATTAGTTCAGTAAGATTTCAAAATACAAGATAAATATGCCAAAATCAATTGTATTCCTATACACTAGCAATGAGCAATCTTGAAATTAAGAACACAATTCCATTTACATCATCATCAAAAGGAATAAAACACTTACAAATAAATTTAACAAAAGAAATGCAAAACTTACGCTCTAAAAACAAAATATTGTTGAAAGAAATAAACCCTTACATTTATAGTCAACTGAACTTTGACAAGAGTGCCAAGACAATTCAATGGGGAACCAACAGTCTTCAACAAATGAAACTGGGACGATGGATATCCACACATAAACTGACAAAGGTGGACCCCTTCCTCACAGCGAACACAAAATTTAACTCAAAATGGCCCACAGACATAAATGTAAGAGCTAAGAGTCTAAAACTCTTAGAAGAAAATAAAGGAGTAAATTTTTCTGACCTTGGATTGGGCAAAGTCTTCTTAGATATGACAACAAAAGCACAAACAGCAAAAGAAAAAATACACTGAACTTCATGAAAATAAAAAAGTTTTGTACTGCAACAGATACCATCAAGAAAAGTGGAAAGAAAAACCCACAGAATGAGAAAAATTTTGCAAATCACATATCTAATAAAGGACTTGCACCTAAAATATATAAAGAACTCTTAAAACTTAAAATTTATCAACAGTGTTGTGAAATTCTGTCTACGTTCCTATCAAAAATTGCCTTCTTCAGATCAAGGGCTGCCTTGTAACTATACCCCAAAGACTGCACATGACCTCTACACACTCAGTATCAAATAACTAAATGTATCATAAAACTAATTTTAGTATTAGTAATGTGTTAATCCATAGCAACCAATTCTGTCCCACATGTTATTCCCGGAAGTATAAATTTAATCACGTATATGTGATTTGGAATACTGACTTCATTATAAAATAAGTCCAATAAAATAATACCTCGTTTGTTCACTTGTGAAGGAGGAAGGAAGCTTGCTGGCATGGCCCTCAAATGAGAATTCTCGGTAGCTTCTAGGAATGGTTCTTTCAGGTGATCTGCAATAAATCCCACCCACCTAAATAAATGGTTTATAACATTTCGATTTCAAATTAGCACATATTTTCTTATCAAGTATTAACAAATGACTACTATACATCTGTTATGGTAGTTACATATATCCCTCGTGATAAACCAAGAAATAATTATTTTACTAATAAAATTATTCACTAAGCACTTAGCTATTCATGCTAAGGAATGACTAAGAATCTAAGGAAAAAAATAACATAAACAGACATGAGCCAGACGTGGTGGCACATGCCTATACGCCTAACTACTTGGAAGGCTGAGGCAGGAGGATCGCTTGAGCCGAGGACTTCTAGGCGGCAGTGAGCCATGACCAGGCCACTGCACTCCAGCATGGACAACAGAGTGAAACCCTGTCTCTAAAAAAATAAACATCCATACAGCTAAATGAACAAAGAAATCAGAGGAAGAGTGAGGCAAATTCAGATGAGTTAAGAGAGGGAGAAAACCACCCATTCTCTTCTAAATATTAACAGACAACTGTCATAGTTAATATTTAATTTACTATAATCAACATATTTTTGTAATTCAGATGAAACATACTACCAATTCACAAACAGCAGAAAGGTTAAAAAGAATTAGATTTAGAGGCATAGGCCAGCTCTACCTCTCTGAGCTTTAATTCCTTCATCTATAAAAAGGAAATGGTTGGATTAGCTCATTTCTGAGCTATTTACCAGTTTTAAAGTTTTGTGCTTCCACTTGTATAGAAAATGAACTGTCATACAGTTCCTAGTATAATCTGGGAATAGAGGAGTATTGCCTATGTAGAAACTATTCCATTCATACAAGGAGTAGAATCATGGTAACCTAATATTAATACAAACCTACAAATGGTTGATTTCAAGGCACTCTACTCTAATTAACCTCTGGATGGGGAAAAAACAGCAAATGTACAATAAAACAAAAATAAATACTAAAAATATCAAGTAATGAACAATCCTTTTCTTAAGTATACATAACTCATTTTCCCACCTGAAAACTTCAAAACTGGCTTAACTGAATGAACTTACTGAAATATTACCATATACACGTTTAAAATGTCATTACTAAAAACCTAAGTTTGTCCACTTCATTTCACTTCATTTCTGTTAATAACTTGTTAGTTATTAAACAGAGTGGTTTCATTTAGTTTAAAAAACAACTTGAAAAAAATAGAGTATTTAAACAAAAGGTACTTATACCAAGGATAATTTCCTATTACTCTAATCACATCGTAATTGACAATCAGGGTTTCCCTTCAATTTTATCAAAATTCTTAACAATTTTTTACATTTCTCTCCTATATCTTCCTAATTCTCAAAAAAAAAAAAAAAAAATCCAAAAAACTAGTGCCATAAAAACTTTGAATCTGTGAAAAAGCAATTTTTATTAAGTGTTTTTACAAAGATGTCTAAATCTCACAAAGCCTTTGTATTCAACTCAAAACTACAACAATCTTGAAGATCCCTTAGCACGTTCATGTTCTGAGGGCAGGCATGTTGGAACAGTCATGTATGAGCCAGACAGACCTGTTATCAACCTTGGCTCTGCCACTACTAATAGCTTATCCTTGGAGAAACTAAGTAATCTCTCTGAGCCTTAGTTCTCTCATCTGTAAAATGGGAATGATAATGCCTACCTCATAGGGTGGTTGTATACATTAAATGAAATCATGTTTGTCAAATATCTTACAGTAAACATTCAATAAATGGTAGCTATCATTACTAAACAAGCACAAAAACAGTTAAGTATAAGAGATACTTCAAGAATTCCAAGACCTTAGCTTGCTGTCCAGACTACCTTAAAAAATAATATATATGCCAATATTAACAATTACTCTGAAAACTATGCTTCAATTATTAATATAATAAAAACATTGAAACTATTTTTTTTATTTGGAGTTTGTTTTGGTTATTTTATGTGCTAGTTTAAATAGTTCGGCTGCAGTATATCTGGTTGCCTGGATGCATTTTTTACTTGCCATCCTCATCTCTGGCCTATTTTAGACACAGCTTTAGTAAGACTGAAGACGGAGAGCCTTTGTGAGATTTGCTTTCAGACTGCAGACTACAATGGGAGTAAGATGCTATTTCTTACCAGGTATTTGTGGGTAAATTTTTTCAACCATGTATTCTCTTAAATTACTTGGCATTTCTCCTCGAACATCAACAAGTACTCGAGTTTCATTGGATGAAATCTGGTAGATGAGAACTGGACTCGGATTAGCTAAAATAAGTTCAGCATGATTTGCTTTAAACTGTGGTGCGTTCTAAAAAAATAAAATAAAATATTTTAATAATTTTCAGATTTTAAGTTGCTTTTATTTTTCTCCAATTACACTCCTACAGTACCTTCATAAGAAAGCCAACAAAATGAGATGAAACAGAAACTTTATTGGACATCAGGTTTTTCCTGAATTTGGAGAAAACCCCATCTGCAACAACAGTCAATGGAGCATGGAGTTCCTATAACAGAGATAAGAAATACTCAGCGAAACGGTTAGAAATACATAGCAAAAAGACCACTCTTTAAAACTGTGCATGAACATATTTAAATATACTATCATATAACATAACAGAGGGTAGTGGAAGATAATGCCATTGAAGAAACTGTTAGGTGGGCTTAAGTACTGCATGACCAATCTTTACAGACACTTCTCTGAGTCCCTGAGGATCACCTCCCTTTGCAGCCCTACCAACCAATCTGGGATTACTCTCTTCTTTGATGAACAACAGGGGAAACAACTACAGGCAAGCATGGACCTAGAAGACTGAATCTCATTACAAATTCCAAGGACTAGCTAGATTCTTTTATTCTAAACTTTTCTGACTTCATATAGTGCTTTTTTTTTGTCAGCAGCTAAGGCTTATAAGAATTCTTGTACAGGCTGGGTGCAGTGGCTCATACCTATAATCCCAGCACTTAGGCGACCAAGGTGGGAGAATTGCTTAAGGCCAGAAGTTAGAGATCAGCCTAGGCAACATAGCAAGATCCCATATCTACAAAAAATTTAAAAATTAGCCAGGCATGGTAGTGTGTGCCTGTAGTCCCAGCTTCTTGGGAGGCTAGAATAGGAGGATCACTTGAGCCCAGGAGTTCAGCGCTGCAGTGATGTAGGATGGTGCCACTGCTTTCCAGCCTGAGCAACAGAGCAAGACCCTGTCTCAAAAAAAAAAAAAAAAATTTTTTTTTTTTTTTTTACAAATGGCTGTCTGCATATATATTACTACACTAACAGAGGAGAAAACCTTGCAATCACCTCATTAGAGTACAATTACTAGGAGGTGGGGATCCAATGGAGCAGGCCCAGAGTTGTGTGTTTTTTACCACAATAAAATTCTTAAAGTAAATAAATAAGGCTAACACTTTTTTTTTTATTTCAGCATATTATGGGGGTACAGATGTTCAAGTCACGAGGCTAACATTTTTAAAAAGGTTCTCTATTACCTTTCTGATTTAAACAATTGCATGTTTTATCCTAATCATCTCTTTTATGTTGACTCCTACCTTTTCCTCCCTTCCAGTTCGCCTCTGTTTCTCTGCTGATAGATATTTCTCATTTCAGTCTTTAACACTATAATTAACAGTTTTAGTTTAAAGTGTTTTGTATGGCATTCCGAGGTGCTCTAAAGAACAATGTGTTGCAATCTGAAATCCATCCTATTGCATAGGGCTTAGAGAGAACTCAGTCCATTGGATAAACACAAGTTGAATATCCCTAATTTGAAAATCTGAAATCCGAAACTTTTTGAGTTGCCAGCATGACACTCAAAGAAAATGTTCATTGGATCATTTTGGACTTCAGATTTTACGATTACGGATGCTAACTGGTAAGCATAATGCACATATTCCAAAATCTGAGAAAAATCCAAAATCTGAACACTTCTGGTCCCAAGCATTTCCATTAAGGGATACTCAACCTATAAACTGGTGAGCCCACTTTTTTAAAGGGGTAGGAGAAAAAGAAGCAAAAGCAACACCTCTTAGGAAGACATAACACTTGATAAATCTTACCTTAATATCTCCAGTCTCTTTATCCCTGTACTGAACTCCCACTACAGCATCATCTTCTTCTAATAACTGTAGCACAACACCTTCGATAAACGTTACACTAAAGAATAAACAGAAATGAATTCCTAAAGTAGCACACTTGAGCATTTAAATTAGATATAAATTCCTTATTCCTTATCTCCCATTGACCCACACAAACTGGACATGTGTGTGCACATATGTGTGTCCACAATGTGTGCATTTTGAAAAAGGTGTGGAATGACAGAAAGCAAAACCATCATTTATGGGTTTCAGAATTATGTGTCATTTTTATTTTCTAATAACTCAACATTGAATTCATATTACTAATGTAATGAATTTAAAAGTATCCTAAAAAGTAACATTAGATTTTTATCTTAATTAATTAAAAAATAAAATACAGGCAGAGAAACTTTATATACCCTCACACATTGATACACAGAGGGGGAAAAAAGATTTGGAGTTTATCCACAAAATTGTTAAGAGTGGTTATTTCTTTCAGAAGATCACAGATAATTTTTTTCCTTTGCTGATTGTGCTTTGTAGACAGATACTTTTTATAATCTTCTTTATATTTGGGGGTCTTTTTCCATTTTCATAAAATGAACGTATCTTTCTTCCATGGATATCAAGTCCTTTCAGTACTAAAGATAAGTCCATTTACTTCTTCACTTGCTCTGTCAATACTTAAGTCTTTGTCAATCACACGAGCGTTCTCACGTTTAAAACTTTCTCAATTACAGTGTTTAAAGGCTACAGGTAAATATAAGTTAATAATCAAGAAAAGCCAGTCCTGTCAAACTAGGTCCTTAGTGAGAATGAAACAGTAATTTCTCCTTGCAGTTCTCTGTCTTGACTTTTAATAGAAGGTATCATAACTACAAACCCTAACTCTGAAATGGGCACACATGGACTTATCCAGGGGTCCCCAACCTATGTGACTTATATAATTATTTCATTACAGATTATGATGTAATAATAATAGAAATAAAGTTCATAATAAATGTAATGCACTTAAATCATCCTGAAACCATCCTCTCTCCCTGGTCCGTGGGAAAATTGTCTTCCACGAAAGCAGTCCCTAGTGCCAAAAAGGTTGGGGACTGTAATCCAATCACATAAAAAAAAAAAAAAAACACACATAATTTTTTTATTTAGTCAAAGAAAAATTCTCTAATTCTATGTCAAAGGAAAATTCTCTTGATGATTAGTGATGCTGAATTAAAAAAATAAAAAATGTAAAATAAAAAACCAAAGGAAAATTCTCTATATGATATTCTTAACAAAACCACTGAATCTAATACTCTTCTAACTTATGGTTTATTTTAGAATAAACCTATGTTCTAGACTTTGCCCAAAACATTCATAAAAATTTATAAAATCTTATTTGTGCAAAGGCCAAATTTAATGTGTTGATTCTTTAATATTACATATTTGAAGCTGTAGTCTTACTTGGGCTCTGCCATAGCTGCTTTCCGGAGACTCATGATGAATCTTCCATGATGGAAAGCTCTTCCACTCTGCACTTGATTGTTTTCTGACAGAGGGTAAGGAATCTGAACCTCTGATTTGCTTTCCTGATCATGAATCATGTAGCCATGTACAACCTGGGCATCAAGACCTTCCACTGTATCTGCAAAACAATTTGGTTCAAAACAATCAATTTTGTTAATATAACTCAAGAGTTACATCAGGAACCAAGAGAGACAAAGAGACATCAAAAATTGGTTTCTGTGTTGATAAAGCTAAGATACAGTTTCCAGAACTAGACAATTAATACAACAATTTGAGAAATCTTGAAGCTTCTGGAGGACAATGGAAGAAATTAGCAACTCATTTAAAGATAATGACCAACTATTTCAGATCTGTAATTCCATTTCACTTCAGAAAGATAAGCAAGAAAATGCAACATGAAATGAAATAAACCACAATCCTCTCCTGAGTAAACCTGTTCTGTCCACAAAGACAAAGGAACACATTCAGTCCTTCTTAATACTTTTTTCAATGTATGAATATGTA